GATGACCAAGAAGCCACTATGGGATGAGCTATGAAAGAAGGAAGAATTTGAGGTGTGTCTTGAAAGTTGGAGAGAAGCCCTGAGGGAAGAGCATTCTGGGCAGAAAAAATAGCAGGTGCAAAAGTCCCGAAGCAGGATCAATCTTAAACCAAGAGACCTGTGTGGCTGGGGGGACAGTGATATGAGTTGAGATTGGGGAGGTCTGCAGAGGCCAGACTTTGCAGAATTTGTAATTATATTCTAAACATTATAGGGAGGGTTCTATGTGGAGGAGAAGATCTGATTTACTTTCATAAGAGCTTCTCCTGCATGCTTAGTGGAGATGTTATGGTACATGTCAGAAGTGGAATGCAGAATCGTGTGGAAAAGAGTACAAGGAACAGCACGTGCAAAGGCCCTGAGGCAGGAGCATGCCTGGCTTGTTCAAGGAACAACAAAAACATCAGAATATGCACAGGGGAGAGTAGAAGATAAAATCAGAGATCAGGTGGAGGCTGGGCATTTCTGACAGGGTCTTATAGGTAAAGTGATGGACTTTGGAGTTTTCTCCAGTGGAAGTCTTTGAACAAAGGGTTAATAAAAATGGATCTGTGGTTTTAAAGGACTTCCCCATTGTCATGTGGAGACTAGACCATCATGGGGCAAAAGTAGAAGTAGGCAAACCAGTCAGGTGACAACTGCAAGGTCCAGGTGGTGAAGACAGTGGCTTGGGACAGGACGGGAGTAGAAAAGGTAGTGAGATCTGTGTGGATGCTCGAATATATTTTGGGGGTGTAATCACCAGGCTTTGCTGGAGGCTTCCATGTGGATGTAAGAGAGGCAGTTGAGGGTAACTCCGAGGTTTTGAGTGTGAACAACCAGGAGAATGGGGCTGCCATTTACAGATGGATTCATGGTGACAGACCCCAGGTCTCTTGCACCCTCAAAACAAATTGAGATATTTCTTAACATCAATAATATTGTTCAAGGTGTTGAGTCTTCTCTCAGCTTCTACTGAACTAACAGAATTATAATTAAAAGCAAAGTTCTCATAATGCTGGCTGAGATTTTTGTATATTCGACACCGCACCCACTGATCAAGTCCCAGCAATTGTTTAATTGTCATAAATATTTGATTGGCCTAATTTTAGTAATATTTGTTTCATAGCACTTCACAGATATCCTTTGACCAACTTCTAGAATTCAATAAATTTATTTTTTTACTTCGTCATCAAACAACAAACAGTTTTGTAAAATTTAGCAGACTCCTTAATAGATTCTCTACCCACCCCAGGATTGATATTTATGCTGTTGGTTTTCAAATGGCATATCACATTTTTTTTATTTCTGTAATAACCTTACAATTACAATTCTGTTTCATCACTCTCTTAATTTATTTTTATGTGTCTATTTTTTTTTTTTTTTTTGGACCGGTAAGGAGATCGCAACCCTCTGCACGGTGTGGTCCACACCACACTCAGCCAGTGAGCGCACCGGCCATCCCTATATAGGATCCGAATCCTTGGCTTCAGCGATACCAGCACTGCACTCTCCGAGTGAGCCATGGGGCCGACCCATGTGTCCACTTTTTATGTATGATTTGCTACATATTGTCATGTATCATTTGATACATTATTGTTAGCTTTACTAACTGAAATATTTTCTTATAAATCCAAAGAAAGTATTGATATCCCTGTTAGAAATGCATTTATTAAAGACAAATCCCAAAAAAAACCCAAAACTTTATTTTCTAAACTCTTAGTTACTCCTTTCTCACAATTTTTATTGAGAAAAATTGACAAGGTTTGACATGATTTCTAAGCTGCTTTGATAGCTCCAGCCCCTCAGGTTGCCCATCTGGGTCCAAATACTCCTCCAATTTTCATAATTTCAATTCTCAGCACTTTAGGCATATCTGGTTCATTTTCTTCATGTTTATTGGATGCATGATGGCAAATATAAAGTTTTGAGAAAAAGATTTAAAGTGGTTTATTTGAGTTACATCTTTTTTGAATCATCCAAAAATAACTGAACAAAGAGAATTGAGTGTTATCAAATTAAAATGTGCAGAAAGTTTTGTAAATTTTGCCTGAAACTCCAAATTTACTTTACATCTGTACAAAATCCAAGGTTTTCACAGAGATATTTTTCATTGAAATGTCAGTTTTAAAAGTCCACTAAAGCATCACAAACATCTTTGGACCACATTTTAGGTTCAATGCATTTAACTATATTTTTTTACTTTTTTCAGATCGTATTTCAGGTGTCATTCTGAAATAAATCATACAGCTTTGTGTGGTCAACAACAAATCTTAAAACTGAAGCCTTGAATTTCACTTTTTAAATAAATTACAGAAACCTTTCTAGTGACACTGCTAAGCTTCATTGATAATGGTTGAAATTCTAGACAATGTAGTTTTCTGCAAAGTTGTTTTTTCTTTTCAGTGAATGGGTTTTGAGTCTGAATGGCAAAATCATGCCATTATCGATCCTACTTTTTTTGAAGTCCTATTAAACATTCTTATCTGAAAAGTCTCAATTACTTTTAAACATACATTAGAGTGATAAATTCTTATATTACTTTCTAATTTTTCTGTCTGCTTTACCAACATACCTTTACTTAAAACAATTTTTTCCTGTAACTTTTTATTATCCAAATGCTTTATAATGTGAAAATGAATAATGACTTTTTAAACGTTTCCTCATTGACTACTGCAAATTTTCTCTACTTGACACCAAAACAACAAAACATGATTGTAGTTCAGATGAAACATTTAAGTATTAGATTTTCAACTTCTTTTTTTCCAGCTTTACTGAGATAGGACTGACAAATAAAAATTGTATATATTTAAGGCATACAATGTGATGATTTGATGTATGTATACATTGTGAGATAATTACCACAGTCAAGCTAATTAACATATCCATCACTCACATAGTTGGCTTTTTCTTTTCTTTTTTTTTTTTTTTTTTGGTTTATGCTAAGAATACTTAAGATCTACTCTTTGAACAAATTTTAAATATACAATAAATTATAATTCCATTATTATTAACTACAGTCACCATACTGTATCTTAGATCACCAGAACTTATTCAACTTATAACTGCAAGTTTGTACTCTTTGACCAACATATCCTTATTCCCTCTGTCTAGCCCCTGATAACCATTATTCTACTCTGTTTTTATGAGTTTGACTTGTTAGATTCCCCATATAAGTGAGATCATGCAGTATTTGTCTTTCTGTTTCTGGCTTGTTTTACTTAGCATAATGTCTCCAGGATTCTCCATGTTGTTACAAACGGCAGGGTTTCCCACCTTTTTTAAGCAGTCCCACCTCTGAGGATGCATCCAAAGGTGATAAAATCACTCACTATCTCAAAGCGATATCCACACTCCCATGTTCATTGCAACAATATTTTTCAACATTATTTTTCAACTTCTAATGAATGGCTTTTGAGCAGGATTTATATTTAACTTTTATAACACCTATTACCATAAGCTACCCATATATTTGTTTTAAAAATTTTGTCTGTTATGACAAAAATACAAATTATTTGCCATATTTTACAGTGAGCCCTACATTACAAAGCTGTGTCAGGTTTCTCTGATTTCTACAAGAATTGGATATTCCAGGGCTACAGCTCATTATGAACACCATTTCTTCTCTGTTCTCCCACAAATACAGCAGAGCACTGTTCACTGATATTTAATAGAAACATTAGGAAGCTTATCCAAGCTTTTCTTTTCTTTTCAGATGTTTCTTTTGTAGGTTTTATCATAAACTCTTGAACTTACAATTATCAAAACATCTCACACTTACAACTTACACACAAAAAAATACCATGCACAAATAATAAAAACCAAAGTAAATCTTAACTGTTTAAAACCAGAACCAACCTTGAAATTTGAGGATAATGAGAAACTGATACCTCTCCGATTTTGCAGAGCATTTCGTTAGCACACAGCCACACTGCTCACAGTGACACGAGCCAAATTGGCAGATAGTTCTGCAAATGTTTCTCAGCTGTTGCCCATGTAGCTAAGGTCATTGCAACATTCCACAGCAATTAGCTTGAAAGATTGAGTTTACATTGCAGTTTTTGTTAGTTAATTTTACTATAAGGACATTTGCCAGCCTCTGCCAAATATTTTTGGACTTCAGCAATGGGACAATTGTGCTGTTGCATACTGGCTGGATATTAGTCCTGGATTAAAGCAATAGGAGGTCATGGTTGCTTTTAACATGCAAGGACAGGCAACGTTTTTGAGAAGTGTTGAGGTCCAATAGGGAAGAGATAAAGGGCAGTAGTTGGAGGGGCAGTTGAGATGAGGAAGGGATTCCTTCAAAGGTGGAAGAAATTTTAGCATCCTTGCTTCTTAGTTAGGATTCTCCCCAAAGCAAGTTATGAGTCAAGGATTTGAGTGTAAATAGTTTATTTAGGATATAATCCCAGGAAACCCAATGAGCATCTGAGGAAGGGAAATGGGAAGGGAGGGTATAGATAAGTAGGCTTCTGCTCTCGGAAACTGAGGGACTGTCCCTTTAGGGATCCTTCAGAGACTGCAGAACACCCTCCAGAACTCTCCCAGTCACGAGAGAGGACATCAGGGATTCATTCAACAAGCCCTGTCCCTCGCTGGCCAGGGGTCACTCCTAGGGGTGTCATCTCCCAGGACTTTCACATTACCCCTGTGTGCAGGCTGAGCTTACCTCTGTGGCCAGATGAAACCCTCAGGGATAGAAATACAGGTGATAATGGCAAGAAATGGTCGGTGTGCTCGGGAGCTGTCCACCGAGCTGCAGGTGACATCCTGCCGGTGGACTGTGGGGGATGAGCGGCGTCTGCCCCAATGTGTTTTCTGGTGGGAATGATGTGGCAAACAGGGGAAAAGGGAAATCCTATTGCAGGTGAGAGTGGGGTTAATTGCTGCTGAATGTCTGAACCCAGAAAGGGCAATGGAGAGCTGGCCTTGGCCAGGACCGCGGACAGCTCCCCGGTTTCCTTTCTGATTGATCCAGGATGGCCATAGAAGGGGCAAATCTCACCCGGGTCTCCGAGTTCCTGCTCCTGGGCCTCTCGGAGGATCCCAAGCGACAGCAGCTGCTGTTCACGCTCTTCCTGAGCATGTACCTAGTCACGGGGCTTGGGAACCTGCTCATCGTCCTGGCCATCGCCACGGACGACCGGCTCCACACCCCCATGTACTTCTTCCTGGCCAACCTGGCCTTCGTGGACATCTGCTTCACCTCCACGACCGTCCCCAAGATGCTATCCAATCACGTGGCAGGACACAAAGGGATCCCTTACGCCGGCTGCCTGACCCAGATGTTCTTTTTCATCTGGTTCGCGGGCGTAGACAGCTTCCTGCTGACCGCCATGGCCTACGACCGCTATGCGGCCATCTGTCACCCTCTGCACTACGCCACGTCTGTGACGCCACAGCTCTGCGGCCTGCTGGTGGTGGCGTCCTGGACCGCCGCCTTCGGGAACGCCTTGACCCACACGGTCTTACTGACCCGCGTCTCGTTCTGCACCTGCAACCGGATCCCGCATTTCTTCTGTGATCTCAGCCCGCTGCTGCAGCTGGCCTGCTCCGACACGTTTCTCAACCATGTGGTGGTGTACACCGTGGGCGCCCTGCCGATCATCGCCCCCTTCGTGGGTATCTTGGTCTCCTATACGCGCATCTTTGCTGCTGTGTTGAGGATCCCATCGGCAGGAGGGAAGTGGAAGGCTTTCTCCACCTGTGGTTCTCACCTCTCTGTGGTGTCCCTGTTCTACGGGACGCTCATCGGGGTTTATTTCAGCCCCATGTCCTCCCACACGGCCCAGAAGGACACAGCTGCTGCAGTGATGTACACCGTGGTCACCCCCATGCTGAACCCCTTCATCTACAGCCTGCGCAACAGTAACATGAAGGGTGCTCTGGGGGCCCTTCTCAGCAGGAAGCCAGTTATCATTGGGTGGCCACAGAGTTGAGTGCCAATCTTAAACAACTCCTTTATATCACTTTCAGTTCATTTGTTGTCCCCCCTTCTCCGCGATTTCGCTTTCTGCAGATTCAGGTACCCACGGTCCACCATGCTCTGAAAATATTAAATGGGAAATTCCAGAAATGAACCATTAATAACTAATAATTTTATTATTCCAGAAATAAACAGTTAACAATTAATAATTTTATGATTCCAGAAATAAACAATTAATAAATAACGATTAACAAATAAACAATTCATAAGCTTTAAATTGTGCCACTGTTCTGAGCACTGTGATGAAATCCCGTGCCACTCAGGAGGTGACTCCTTTGTCCACAATATCCACTCTATACATACCCACCTTCTTGGTCATCAGATCAACTTTGGTGGTATAGCAATGACTGTGTTCAACTAATCCTTATTTGACTTAATAATTATTTGCCCCCAAGTGCAAGTGGAATGATGCTGGCAATTGGGATATGCCAGAGATGCCAGAAAGTGCTTCTTTAAAGTGAAAAAGTGAAAGTTCTTGATTTAATAAGGAAAAGGAGAAAAAAGTATGCTGAGGTTGCTAAGGTCTACGGTAAGAATAAATCTTCTATCCACAAAATTGTAAAGAAGAAAAAGAAATTCATGCTAATTTTGCTGTTGCATCCTAAACTGCAAAAGTTCCCATCACAGGGGCCGGCCCGGTGGCGCACTGCTACAGTGCGCCGCTTGGGAGCGTGGTGGCGCTCCCGCTGAGGGTTCGGATCCCACATACAGACCAGTTCCCGCTCACTGGCTGAGCGAGGTGTGGGAGCAACACTGAGGGTTGCGATCCGTTGCCGGACACGACAAAAGACAAAAAGGAAAAAAAAAAAAAAGTTCCCATCACAGTGCATGATACATCCTTAGTTAAGGTGGGAAAGACATTAAATTTGTAGGTGGAAGAAATGAATGGCACCGTGTTCTGATCAACAGTAGTTGGATTCAGTACTATCTGAAGTTTCAGGCATCTACTGGGGGTCTTGGAATGTATCTGCCATAGATAAGTGGGGACTAATTTATTTTATTCTTCCAACAACTATTTATTGAGCATCTATTACTACTTAGACATACTTTTAAGGGCTGAGGATACAGGAGAGAGCAAACAAAATCCCTGATCTTGTGGAGATTATACTCTAGCCTGAAGAACTCTTAAGGGTTAAAAAGAAGTGCTCTGGAAACCAGAGAAACCAGGATTCAAGTCCCACTCTGGGTTAAGGTTCAAGTTAAGCTGTTATCACAAAGAAACTCAAAAGGCAAAGGCTCAAAAGTCATAACCTTTTGCAGACTGGACTCTGTTTCCTTGACAACAGAGTTCCTTCAAAAAACTTAGTAGGCATCTGGTCTAGTTGCCTCTGGCTGTTTCCATTGCTAGAAACAACGTTCAATGTTCTTTTCTAGCCAGAGTTCTTATGTCTGTTTAATTTGCTTCCTTGAACTCCACCCATCTTTGTCACTCTCAGTTAATAAAGACTACCCCAAGGCCACCTAAAACAATAGCCTTGGGCAGGAGGCAAGAGCCCTACTTCTACTGTTTGGGAGACAGAAAGATATTGGCTCTTCCAATCTTGTGATGTTACTGACTCTGAAAGGTGCCAATTCTTGTCTAAGATCATCTATTTCTTGTAATTCTTCACTAAAAGCAGCAAGGAGCATCCAACTTACAGTAACATTCTTGCTCTTTCTAATCATTCTAGAAACACATGCTCAGTAGACACATGGTCTACCTTTTGGGTTGTCACAGATGGTAGTCTTATCAAATGTTGTTCTTTGTCATAACAAGGGTCACATGCTTTCCAATCTGAAATATCTGTGTCCTCACAACCAGACCACTAAGCTTATGTAACCAATTTTTCATATTTTGCAATGGCAGCACCCCACTTCTGGTACTAATTTCCATGTTAGTTCAAATTAGCTTAAACTAGATGGTTTAAACAACAGAAATGTATTGTCAGAGGCTAGAAGTCTGAGATCAAGATGTTGGCAGAGTTGGTTCCTTCTGAGGTTGTGAGAAAGAATTGTTCCATGTCTCTCTTCTAGATTCTGGTGGTTTGCTGGCAATCTTTGGTGTTTCTCAGCTAGTTGTTCTCTGCCTTTATCTTCACATGGTATTCTCCCAGTGTGTGTGTCTATCTCCAAATGCCCCCCTTTTTATAAAAGCACCAATCTCATTGGATTAGGGGCTCACCTTATTCCAGTATGATCTTTTCTTAACTATCCTATTTCCAAATAAGGCCACATTCTGAGATATTGGGGGTTAGGACTTCAACACGAGAATTTGGGAGAGGAGGGACATAATTCAACCCATAACATTTACTACAAAGAAAATAAAAGAACTCTAGTGGAGTATTGACTCAAGCAAGGTGGAACTTTCTCTCTCATGTAACAACAGAGTCCTAGACCAGTGAATGGATCTGCCCCACTCAGACACTCAGAGGTCTAAGTTTCCTATGTCTTGTCTCTTACTCATTTCCCAGGACGTTATTCTTGTCTATAAGATTAAAGCTGTGAACTCTGGATTACAAAAAATAATCAGAGAGCACAGGGGATTGAGCCCACTTTTTTTTAAATTTTGGCATTGAATATTTTATCTATTTATTTACCTTTTTTTAATTTAGTGGTTAGAAGGAAAATTGTTTTTTCAACATACAAACGAAGGAAAACATCACGAATTGAATTTAAAGTCAATTGATAAGGAATAAATTTAGCACACAAAGATTAACGTCCTTAATGCATAAAGAACTCAATTAATTAGAAAAATCTTAACAGAAATTTGGTGAAGGACATGAGTAGATAGGTCACAGATCCCAAAGAAACACACATGGCTAATAAACGCATTCTAAGATGTTCTTGCAGGCAGGAGCAGTGGCCCATGGCCCCTGCCACAAGACCCCAGGTGTGCTCCGTTGCTTGCCTGGTTGCAGGCAGGGGTGGGGCAGAGCCCACTATTTAGAAATTGCACACCTTGCTCTTCACATTCCATACTGAGTTACACCTGCCTGCAAAAGAGGCCAAGAAATGCAATTTAGGTGGTCAGCTATGTTGCTGGGCTGTGATTCTGTTATTGCAGAAGGAGGGAATGGATTCTGTGGAGATTTAGCCATCCATATTCCATCCCTTTATCCACCAAGTACATGAGAATGTGCTTCTTCCCACCATAATGCATTTATACCCCTCCCCAAATAAGGCAACCTAAAATCCCATCCTGTAAATGCACCCAGCTAAGGGTCGAAAATCAAGCAGGTCTGAATGTTTCTCTCACGATCCAATAATTTGTAAATTAAAGTCCATTTATCTGGCCTTCTCCTCACCCAAAGTGCAATATTAGACCAGTTGCAAGTTCTTAGGAATGATTAAATCTTGCTGGGCCAGATTTATTTTTAAAACTTCCTGCTTGGGTTCACCACCACATCACCAGCCCTGCAATAAATCCTCTAGGGACTCCTGCATCAGGAATCTGGAAAATTATAATCATTCATCTTACTAGCTATAGCTCTGTTCAAACTCTCTGTTTTTTAATAATTCAGTCTTGATCAGAGTTTCTAGGAATTTATTCACTTCATCTAGATGATCTAATTTGTTGACCAACAATTATTCATAGTACTCTCTTATAACCCTTTGGATTTCTGTAAATTAGGTTGTAATGACCCCTTTTTCATTTCTGACTTTACTTATTTGAGTCTTCTCTCTTTTTTTCTTAATCCATATAGGGAAAGGTTTATCAGTTTTGAGGATTTCATCAGAGTATCAACTTTTAGTTTCATTGATTTTCTTTTTTCATTTTCCTATTTTCTATTTCTTTCACCTATGCTCTAATTTTTATTATTTACTTCTTTTGCTAGGTCTGGGCTTAGTTTGCTCTTCATTTTCTAGTTTCTTAAGGTGCAAAGGTGATTGTTGATTTGAGATCTTTCTTTTTTGTTTATGTACACATTTACATTAAATAAATTTCCCTTTCAGCAAATAAATAAATGAATGAATGAATGAATAAACAAACAAACAAATAAATAAAATAAAAAAACCCTGCCTATAGAGTGGAACGAATCCTTTGATTAGACTCTGGTTGGTTCTCAGGGAAACTCTTTCATCTATTGCTCACTATGGTCTCAGATTTTACCATCTAGAATGTTCCTCTCTGTCCATTATTTCCCATGGTGTCATCTGGTATGAGTTTTAATGGGGATGCCCTGCTTGGGGACTCTATAGTTGTCATAGCCTGATTCCTTTGGTGCAAATTAGGGACCTGAGTGTGGTCTTAAGGCTGAAACAGACACAGGCTGGGCTCACGATCTCAAGACAATTCTCTAAAATACTTAGTAACCACACTGAAAGTTCTTTCCTAGGCATGGTTTTTACATTCCTTGGTTTACTCAGATCTTTGTACCATGTTAATGGTGGCTACCTGAGGTCATTTGAAACAAAAGTGTTAGGTGAGAAGGCGATGGCCTTACTCACCACTATTAGAGACATCAGGATCAGGTGACTTCTCCAACTTTTTGAGGACTCTAATCTGTGGACTCTTCCATGTCTGCTTGCAAATTGGCCAGATTCTTGCCCATCAAGTCCATATCTTTCTTGTAATATTTTGCTAAAAGCAGCAAGGAGCAACCAAGTCACAGCAATATTGTTTCTCTTTCTAATCATTTCATCAAGAGATGCAGCCTCACTTATCACTTGAGCTATCTTTCTAGTTCTCTAGGATTATAGTTTTGCCAAATGTTTTTCATTGGCTTAAGGAAGGCACCCCACTCTCCTGCCTGAAATACCTGTGTCCTCACAAATCAGCCATTAAGTGAGTGCCATCTATTTTTATGGTGGCACCCCACTTCTGGAACTGATTATTATATTTGTTAGGACAAAATTCTAAGCTCCAGTAAAAAGAAGAGAGAGGTACAAAATGCAATATTTCAAACAAGACAAAAGTTTATTTAGCTCTCTAGTTCCAGGTCAGCATGCAACTCTGTTGGGTCTCTGCAATCA